ATGTCCTATATTACAGATGCGATTATAAAAAGCGATCCAAATGCCCGTTGGAACATTTTCGTTTAAGTATATAATAATTATATCGTTTCTCCGATTACATGTAAATTGGAATCGCGAGTATTACGGCTATCTTCAATTTATTTATTTGTCGCGTTTTTTTCGCAAATTTTAAATCGCAATTTATCTTATAATTTAATCGTTGATTTACACCGAAGCTTCGTCTATCTTTTCTCGAATATATTCTTTGAAATTCTACGCAAAATGCACCAATGGTCTAACAATAAGTACTTTTTTTTAAATTGAAAAACGTTCGATAACTTTATTAACGATTCTTTTGTTCATAATATAAACATTAATATTTGCATTATATAAAACTTAATAAGCTTTGTAATAGCATTGTTGATCATTAATCGTAAATATCGCATTAATCGTATTTATCAGCTTATCAGCTATATCTGATCTAAAAATTTCTAGTGAATTCTGTGTTATATGAATATTTCGGATGTTTTCGTGTAATAAATTATTTTATAATACATTGTAAATTATATTTTATATTAACCTCTGTATTATATTTTTAGATATTCGGATTATTAGATTAATCAATGAATACTTCGAGTAAGCGTTTGATTGATTAATCAGGGCAAAGAATCTTGTACTTTAAAGACAAAATAGCGTCAAAAACAAAGAATGTACTTTATATTATTTATATTAATTGGATTCTCACAAAACCTATTTTTGATCAAACATATATTCATCGTAAATCTGGTTTAATCGCTCTCAAAACGCTAAGAAACGCTAATAAGTTACTAGTAGGGTCACCCATGCCGGACAGGTCGAAGGGGAAGAGTCAGACTAAGAAAGATACTGTAATTATATTTTTTATACTAATATTTTTAAATAAAATGAAAGTGAAAAAGACAATAATAGAGAAAAGAGAGCTTTAGTCGTTTTTAAAATTAATGTCGTATAAATACATATATTTAAATTTCCCGAGAAAGGTATTATTTTTACATTTCCGGCCATTTAATTAAAATTCTGAGTAGAATTCCACAAGATAGAAAAAACACTTAATATTTTATACGCTAAAAAAACAAAATTGCACAAGATATCGCGATTTTTTGACATTTTATGACATTTTGCGAAAATCTGACAGCTGATAATATCACCGGCGATCATATAAACGTGAAAAAATTAATTAACGCTGTCAACAATTAAAACTACTTAAAAAACAATAGAATACGGTTAAAACTATAGGTTTATAACTATATATTTTATACATATATA